GCATTTATCAAGTACCTAATATTAAAAAATAATTTTTTATTAACTTTTTTAAGTGCAAAGTTGGTCAATTGTTCGCCATTACCACTACTTCCTGGGCCACTTTCTGTCTTTTTCAACAACAGCTTTGTGTCAACTGTAAGAATTTTTTGATTAAAAAATTCTTGTAGCCCCCTCCCCCACAAAATAATATACAATCTGACTTTTAAGTAGAGTTGGGCAAAACGATACTGGTATCGGCCAACCCGAGACCGAGATTAACCGATACTCAAGAACCCTATACCGAGACCGATACCAACATTTTGAGCCGAGACCGATACCGAGAAACGATACTGACCGAGACTAACAGGAAATTTTATTTTACTCAAAAAATACGTGTAAAAATAATTTATTCATTATTTTCATCATCCAAATCATCAGATAAATACTCTTCATCATCTGGATCCGATTCGATTGATGGTGAACATCCTTTTTATAAAAAATACAATAGTAGGATTTATAGGTAAATGGATTATACACTCTGTTCCAAAAGTATATTACATTCGATTACATTCGATATCCCTCCAAATCCATTGATATCCCCATAAACACCCAAATCCCTCCAAATAACCCAGTATGTATTTAAGCCTTTTAATTTTATTAAATTACTGGGACTCAGTTGAGCTAGATAAAAGAACAACTCAGTCGTGCGAACTCAATCGTGAGGGCTTAGTGAAATGCTCGGATTTTGTAAGGCAAATAAAGAAGGATTCACGAATTTTCAGCGCCGCAGGCGAAAATTTTTTGAAATTCAGAAGGCCAAAGGTCAAAAATCTTCAGTTTTATTAAAAAATACAAGAAAATTGGGGTCTTTGAGTCAGTATCGTTTCTCGCCGAGAAATGGACCGAGAATATCGGTATCGGTTTCGAGACCGAGAATGAAAAAACCGAGACCGATATTGGAAAAAAGCCGAGAATCTCGGTATCGGTCTCGGTATCGGTCTCGGCTTGTCCAACTCTACTTTTAAGATGGGACAATTGAGAGTATAAGTCGAAATAGTGGGTAAAATTGCTTTTACTAATTTGTCCTACAATCTATTAGCCTCTCATTTTCTTCAGGTTTCCCAATATTCTGCCCCTGTACAATATTCCTGCTCAAGGATCACCTTCCTTGAGCGTCTATTAGAATCAGGCTCCTATTAGAAGAATTTTTGAATGAATAGCGCTTGGAGGATTTTTCAATTACCTCCATTATTTCTAACTTGTGTCAAGTCTCAGTTATCCTATCAAATATCCTCTCAAAAATGATGGACATTTTTGGCTATGAAATAAGATTTTTAGTTAACACAGATTTAAAAAAATTTTCAGAGTAATTTAAAACTTGTACTTCCTGGAGAAGAGTTCCGCTGTCTATTGGGTGTAGATCCAGCCATCAAAGTAGAATACAAAAGGGCGAATACTTCAAACGAGCAATTCGGTTTTATGACAAAGAAGAGTTTATCTACCCATGAACAAGCAATTTCTTTACGAAATGCAAAAGCTAATCAAAGTGTTCAAATAACAATACGTGAACCGGTACCGAAAGCTGTTGATGACCAAGTTAAGGTAAATTTGGAATAGAGATCTGTGTGCGGATACGAATAATTTGAATATTTCCGAGTCAACCCATTCTGACTCTTATTTTCACAAAAATCTTGCACAGCCGGCAAAATTCCATTTGTAATCCTCATGGTGATTTGATGTTAATAACTGAATATTTGTTCCTTATTGTGATGCGAAACATCTCTGTAGCCGATATTTCTGTTCGAATTTCATCTTTACCCGGCTATATTTTTTATTTAAAAATTCGTATCCGCGCACTACAATATTTTTAAATTAATAATTTACTAAATATATTTTCTGGGAAACATTTTTTGGCAAAAATTAAAATAAGGAATGGACACTGGAATTACTTAAATTGATTTTTTTCTTCCCCCTTTTAATTTTTTTATTTTTCCAAAAACATTTTTCAGTCATCTATAAAATCAAAGCAAAGGCCCCGCTTTCTGATGTAGAGTGTTTTTGTTATCTCCTTTTGGGACACCCGAAGCATAAATATATTTAAGTGAGTAAAATTTTAATTTTTTTTTGCTTGAAAAATGTTTCTCAGAACATAAATTTTTTAAAAATATTTTTTAAAAATTTTTCCTTCCCTCCACAGATTGCTCTAATCCATCCAGACCTCAAAACCCAAAAATCGGAATGTCGACTAACCAAGGAGCATAATTTGGAATGGATTGTTAAACTTGCACCCGGTGAACAGCGCGAACTTGTTGTTAAGTGGACAGCTGAATATCCGGCACAGGAGGTGAAATATAGTTCTCAAAAATTTTTGGTGGGGAAAAATAGAAAATTTTGAGAAAAAATTTTTGGAAAATTTTTTAATAAGAGAATTTCAATTAATTAACAATTTTTTTGGTTTCATTCTGTAATCTCTAGTTTTTTTTATATTAACTCTTTAACTTATTCAACCCTTCGAGATAAAAAAATTTTTCTGGATTAAGTGGGAGAGAGATACATAATAGGTATTTATAAACTGAAGAGATTTCATCCCTGATACTTAAGTAGGAAAAGTAGTGGCCCGCTTGGGAGAAGATTTATTTGAGAGTTTTTACGAACCGACCGAATTGAACCGAAAAACCGAAGATTTTCGGTTCGGTTTGTCGGTTCGGTTTCTGACAACCCTAACCGACAACCATACCCTTCAGCCTTTCCTTTACTTTCCAAATCCATCGATATTACTTTGAATTCTCCTATATCCATCTAATTCACAATTATTTCTAAATAAATCGTTTAAAAAAAGACCCGAAAATGTCTCGGTGCCCGACTCGATAAAGTCAGGCCCGAAAAGTACTCGTACCGGCCCGACTCGATAAAAACAAGCCCGACCGTTGGCCCGACTCGAAAACGGCAACCCTATTGAGAGAGGAGAAGAAGGGAGATCACATTTGATTCACTTTTGCAAACATATTTTAAAATTCTTCAGAAGCGAAAACTAGTTAGGTATACATATTTCTTAGAGTAGAAGTAAGGTTGTCGCTTCTTGAAAAATCTTCAGATCTCCGAAAGACCAAAAAAGACATCATATTTCACGTTCGGTTCGTACCGACAACCCTAGTAGCGAAATAATCCGTGTTAAAGTCAAAGAAGGATTTTAGGTGAGAGAGGAGTTACTAAATACGAAATTTTGCTTCATAAATTTCTAAATAATTATATTTAATTCCAGTGTGTACTCTTCACAAGCGGTAATTCTTGCCCAAGTCTACACATTGCTCCAACATATGGGAGAATTCATTAATAGAAAGATTGTGTTTGTTTGTTGCTGTTAAAGAGAAAATTATTAGAATGCTTATTGGAATAGGCAGAAAAATTTTTTTTAATTTCTAAAAATTAATTCAATTCGTGCTCTTAATTAATTAATTCTTGCCTTTATTTTTATTTAAATTCCTCTCTTATTTATTCCATTTTAAATTATACTTTCTCTCTCCCACTTAATTCCCTTTATTCTGGACATGTTCTGGTTCTGTTCCTAGCTTTTGATTAAGTCGACCTCCCTTCAACCCTTTCAGAAAATCTCCCTACAAACTAGGGTTGGAAGCCCGGTCCGGTTCGGTCCGAAAGAGCGAGTCGGGCTTCAAATTTTGGTCCGAAAAAGACTCGGTCGGGCAGGTCCGATAAAAATGAGGCCTGAAAAAATGAAATGACTCGAACGTAGGACCGACTCGAAAACAACCCTCCCTCCAATCCTCCCTTCAAACCTACATTTCAAACACCCTAAAATTTTTTGAAGGCTGGCCTAAGCTAGTGAGCGAACCTCAAAGTTAGTCCAGCCCAAAATTTTTTCCCGGAGGATGTACTAAGTGAGAGAGAGGAACAAACAACTTTTACATATTTATAATCTTACTTTCCTATTAATAATTTAATTATATTTTTCTAATTTAATTTTATTTATTTTAATTAGCAATCTTATTAAAATACTAGGTATTTTCTTTTATTTAATTAAAGTCGGACCTCTCTGAGATAGACTCTCAATATTAAATCTAGATGGTTTTTAAAGTTGGTTGGCAGTCGGATTGAGGAAATGCCCAAGCTACGCCTTATTTAAAGGGGTATAGGTTAGGTACCTCATTATAAGGTAGATTTTCAGCTCCAAGGCCCCCAACCTTTAACGAGGGTTCGACTTTGCCAATTTTAGAATATTCTTCATTTCCTTTAACTTTTTTATTTATTTTTGTGATGCTTTCCTATTTTGATTTGCTGATAAAAAATGAAAAGGGATTTTTTATCAAAAAAATTTGAACTAAAATTGGTTCAGCAAATAGGCAAAAGAATATCTCATGTTACTAGGTTGAGTTAAACAAATTAAATAATTATTAAAACTAAGCAAAATGTTATCAGAATGCAAATTATTTTTCTTTATGATCCTAAGAGAGTTGCCTGTTTTATGGCTAATAATATCTCGAGAGTCAATTTCAGAACTTCCGGGCACGGGATATTCTTAATAACGAACTTCACTTCAGATTTTGTGGTCTTCAGACTTTGTAGTGACGCTTTACAAGTTGTGCTCGTACTTGGAAAGCGTCCCCTTAACTTGGAAGGCTACTCGTAATAAGGAATCGAAAAAGAGTAATAAATGGCGTTATTGCAACCAGGGCACATTGTAATTTCATTGAAATAATTTATTAAAATTATTTTTTAAATTTATTCAAAAACAAAAAATATTTATTATAATTCCATGTTTTTAACCGGGTAAAATTCTAATAAAAATTTAATTGGCAAAATATGCAAAATTAAGAGTGAAATGCGCGCAATTATGGCGAGAATCGAAAATATTATTAAAAATTTATGGGGAAATTTATTATTTTTTAAAGAATGGTTATTTTACGTAATCTCATCTTATCCCATCTACGGCCTCTCATTGATGAAGTAAATTTATTTAATATCAAAAAGATGTCTAATTCTTCACCGAAGTCAAGCCCATTTATTCACCCAATCCTAACTTGGAATATCTTCGAGTTCTAAAGGATCAAGCCATATCTTACCCTTTAGATGGTAGGAAATTTCGGATATCCGGCCTTTTTTCGGATCCGGATCCGACAACCTTAATTAAAAACTTGTTCTTGAGTCCGTTCGAATACTCGATATCGACCTCTTCTAAATCGAATTCCTTAAAAATATTAGACTCTTAATCCGTTAGATATCCAGAACTAGATATCCCAAGAATCTGTTAGATAACCCCAAAGACAGCCTGGATGGATAAGATAGAGATTCAAATAAAAAAAAATAAAATATATTAAAATTTAATTGTGATCACATAGTAATTTTCTGATTTGAGAAGATTAGAAAAAGGGAAAATGTACAAAAAAAACTAAATTCAAAGAAAAAATAAAAAGGTTTTGGAAAAAAGTTTGAAGTAACTTAAAAATTAATTAATATCAAAAAGAAGATTGTCTCATTTCTTCACCGGTTTTTTCAACTATTAGAAATTAATTGTAAATTATCAAAGTGTGGGTTTGTGTAGCTGAAGTTAGCAAATGTATCTGGATCCTGAAAAGAACAAAAGAAATTAATTTAAATAAAATCCAAAACAAAAAATTATTAGAGTAAAGCAGCTGAACCCATCTCAGAAAATAGTAAAAGCACTAAGGTTCGGAAATTCTCGATTCGGATACCGAATCCGGATATCGGAAGATTTCCAACTACCCGACAACCATAAAAAGCAACACAAAAAATAGTAAAAACATCCGAACAAATAGTTCGCCGGCTTTAATCCTCAAAAGAGTGAAGGACAAGTTCAATGCCAATTGCCTTGGACAGATTTCCCTTTTCCTCGAAAACTTTTGAAATTCAGTCCTTACAATTTTAGATTTTTGCTTTTTGGTTATTCTAACCCGCTTTTACTTCTATCCTTAAAAAATTTTTTTCTACACCCGGGGATCTTTTCACTGGTCATTGGCCAGGATTTTATTCTACCTTAAAGATGGCTTTCAATTTAACAACTGCTCAAGGCCAATTGTACCAAAATTATCTTTATTAGCCCTTATTTTTTGTTTCCTTGAGTGTCTATTAAATGTGGGATTCTATTAGAATAATTTTCTTGGTTTGATTCTGATTTCTTTCCTTCCTATTCAGATTCTTTCGATTTCTGGTTATCCCAACCCACTTTTACTTTTCTCCTCAAAAACTTACAATAGATGCAAGTAAATGCTTGTCCTGAATTGGAGTTAACAAAGCCTTTTCTTGAGTAAAATCGTCATCAAAATTAGAAGTATCATCAGCACTTTTCTATAAAACATATGGATTTTTTAAAAGTTTAAAATAAAATACCACAAGAGGTTTAAATGGAGGTATTGTTTGTCTAGTTTCAAACTTTTTCCAATCAACACCTCTAAAGAAGGAGTGCTGGCGGATGGGGCCTAAAAATTGGTTTTGAATTAATTTTTTGATTAAGTATGTGAAAATTTTTTCAAAATTTTCAAAAAAATTTTTTGAAATTTCAAAAAATTTCGCTAAACATTTCTTCTTAAAAAAATTTTTTCACCATCAGGACATTCAGGCATCCCTAGTCTTGTATTTGGATTTCGATCAAATAGCTGAAAATTAAATAAAATACACTCCAAGGTACCGCAAGCCCAAGGTGCCGAAGAGCTATAACTTCGTTCAGAATTGTCGAATCCGGAACGCCAAGGTGTGGTTCGATTTAGTTTGTCAAGGTGCATCGAACCATACCAAAGCGCCCGGATAAGAAAATTCTGAACGACGTCATAGCTCTGAGGTAACTTGGTATTGCGGCACCTTGGCCTGCTTCCTTATTTCATTAAATATATCAAATAAACATAAAAATTAATTTACAGCAGATAATATTTTTGCAGATTCTTTACCAATCCATTTTGGGAAATATGGACGTTCATTAAGTATAGCATCGAATAATTCGTCTTCCCCGTCTCCATGGAAAGGTGATTGGCCAATAAGCATTTCATACATTAACACTCTAGAATGTTTATTTTTTAAGTTTTATTGAAATTTATTTAAGATTAAGTGAGACAGGAAACAACCGAATCTCTCGTTGATAAAAAAGATCCCCTTCAAAAAACTCAAACTCTGATTAGAACTCTTTATTTACCTATCTTAGCCTCAATTTAAAATACTAATCGTAAAATTTGGTTCGCCACTTGGTGATCTGCCTAAACGATAACTCAATTTAAAATATCTGTCATTATAAAGAACAAGTTTTCTAGCCAAAGTTATATCTCATAGTGAGGTCAACTGTAATTTATTTTAAACCCCTAAACACTCACCCCAAACTCCAAAAATCTACAGCTTGATTGTAAAGTTGTCCTTTAATTATTTCTGGTGCAATATAATCGGGGGTTCCACAAAAAGTTGAAGCCATTCCATTCTCTCTATTAGCCTCTGTTTTACACATTCCAAAATCTGCTAGATGAACATGTCCATCATTATCGAGAAGTATATTATCCAATTTTAAATCTCTGTAGATTATGTTTTTGGTATGTAAAAATTGTAATGCACAAATTATTTCACACGTGTAGAAACGGGTTCGGTTTTCGTCGAATCGTTTGACCTTTAAAATTTTTTTACATTTTTACAAATAATTTTGGGGAAAGAATGCTCATTAAGGGATTCTTAAAAAGCTAAACTTAACATTAATAAATAAAAATTATCGTATTTTCTCGACTAGTTCACTAGCGAATTTCTTTTCAAGACAGCTGTAGAACAAGAAAATCAGGGCGGACATGATTTTATGGTAAGACGGTTTTCATGCAATCGAAGTTCGTTATAGTCTCTTACCCCATTCCTTTGGTCAACCAATAAAAATCCGGGCTTTGTCTAGTTTTTTGTCCTTCTTGGACTAATAACTTTCATTGTACACATAAAACTTTATTGGACTATTAAAATAGACGACAGAAAAAATCTAAGTATATAGATTTGATTGCATAAAACCTTAAGCACAATTAATAACCCTGGCGGGTTAACCAATACTCAAGAAAGGACATTCACTTATTTCTCAACCCAACTCATCCCTCCTTGAAAAATACCAAGATTTTTTAACATTAACAAATTTCCCCTTACTTGTTGTATATGATACATTAAATCACCACCATTTAAATATTGCATTACAAAAAAGAGGTATTCATTAGATTGAAAACAAGCAAAAAGTTTGCACAAGAAAGGGCATTCACCGGATAAAATGAGTACTTTTCTTTCGATAAAAGTGCACTGAAAATTAATTTTGGAACAATTTTAGCTAATTTTCCGTTAATTACCTCAGTATCATCATCTTCTAAAATTACATCTTTTTTTAAACATTTCATTGCAAAAAATTGACTGTGATTTTTTAATTCTACTAGTAGCACCTAAAAAAGTTTTTTTAAAGATTTTTAAAGGGTTGTCTTCTTTCTTGAAGAAAATGAAGAATTAGTGGAACGAGGAAGGTTCTCCTATCACATACATTTTAAATAAACCAAACTTGGAAATTCAAATATTTACTTATTAAAGACAAATTCCAGTCGTAAAAATACTGTTTCGCAAAATTCACACAAAGGAACCTTTCCTAAGCAGAGGTGTTTCGAAACAAAAAAAATCTTCAAAAATCTGAAATCAAAAATCGAAAGGAAAAAAAACCTCGAAAATCGAAAAACGAAAATCAAAATTTCAAAACACCTCTGCTCCAAAGATTAACTTTATTCATAATCTCAAGATTACAATTTTATAAAATAAAGTTTACAGGGGTTCATATTACATATTTAGGTTCAAGTATATTCAAGTTACTATTCATGGGTTTTTAGGATTTATTTTTATCGAGGTTTTTCAAGTTTATATTAAAGTTAGGCACGACTCTGTACGGAATTTTACGGAACATCGTCCCGGAATCTTGGGTTTTAAGGTACAAATCTTGGGTTTTAAGGTAAAATTGGGTTTTAAGGTACAAATCTTGGGTTTTAAGGTAAAATCAAGATACCATTTATTGCCTAAATTAATAAACTTTTTCTTCCTCTCATAATAAAAGTTTCAAAATCCCTTCCCCTACCTTTCCAAAACTTCCTTTTCCAAGCACTTTGTGAATATGGAAATTTGTTAGTTTATATTGACGAGGAGAATCTGCATTGCCGCCTCCTAAAGGCTCAGGTATTTCATTGCTTTTGTCAGCCACAGAATCGCCTCCAGAGACTTGGGCTCTGAATAAATTCTGAAACAAAGGGAAAAACCTTTAAACTATCCAATCTTTTAATCACCTTAAATTTATTTCCAACTCCATTAACCAATTGTTGGTCTTTATTAGCAAAAGAAGGGGGCGCTGTATTTGTTGTAGCACTCCTTTTAATTTCTATTAGGGCATCGGAAAGTTGTTTTTGATTTACACCGCAAAGGTTAGGCATATGTTTTTCACAACGGAAGTGACTTGAAAATAATGAGAGTGGATTAATTAGTAATTTTGTAAAAATTTTGTAAAATTTTCCTAAGTAAAGAAAGCCAGTTATGATCAATAAGACCTCAAGTAAGACTAATTCTGTGCGGAAATAATCTGGGGATGGCAAAAACCTCATGAATTTGGACTAGAACTCGTGGAAAATCTGGCCAGATTTAAGCCAGCGCTACATAAAATTTATCTTTTTGATTGATTGACAAAGACAATGATATCCAAATTCAATCTTCCCTTAAGGTCTTAACCTTCTTAACACAGGGTTCCGATCGAGAAAATGTAAAGTGTAAGTACGTAAAGTATAGTACATAAAAAATAAGATAGGATTGGACCCTGAGTTTACATGATCATTTTTTCAAATCTATTCTAACACTTAAACTTATCTCGAAGCATATAGGTAAATTTTATCAAAAATATTTTATTTAATTTACCAATTAACGCCACAAACTTCACATTTCAATCCTTGTCTAAAAAGCCCATATAGAAGAGAGCCGCAATGATCACAAAATGTTAGACTTTTAAAATTATACCTTTAAAAATTGGAAAAAAATTTTTTTTTATTTAAAAAATTAATCGCTAACGGTTTGAAACGATGAGGGACATCAATTTTGAAACGTTCTTTAAGGTAAATTGTATCTTTTGTATTCTTAGCCGAGCCTGGGCATTGACTTAAAGTTTTTTCGTGACATTTTTTGTGGACAGCTGAAAATATTTTTTAAAGGTTTTAAAACAAATTTTATTTTTCAATAGTAAATGAACCCCTCTATTTTATATAGCTCGATATAGAAGATTTTTAAGAGTCTCTTATATAGGGATTTTGTCGTATACAAAATAGAAGATAAACTGATATAGAGCCTCCATTATGTTAAGGTTATATATAAACACATCTAGGGAGATAGACGCTAGGTGTTATACAGAGGTCGATCGGAATTCCGATTTCTGAAAATTTGAACTGATTTCCGAGTTCCGACTTTTGAGCCATTTCCGATTTCTGGCAGGTCAGGTTTCCAGCACCTTCATCATTTCCAATCGACCTCTTGTGTTATATAAGATCGGCGTTTAATATTATTAAGGCACAAAATTTAGCGCCGATATTTTTTGTTCAATTTCCGAAATTTTAGAAAACATAGAAAATTTAGAAATAAACTTGCCAAGTGTGCAAAGTTGGCATTGATATCCTTGTTTATTTAGCCCCCACATAAATTCTCCACAAATTGAACAAAATGTAAATTGACGGAATGAGGTTGTAACAAATTCGTGGCCTCTGATTTCTTTAAATTTTAAAAGATTTTTGACCCAAAAAATTATCCCCTAACCATGTATTTTTGCATGTTTTATAGCCCCTCTACGCCTATAAATTCCATCACCAAACCCTTTTGGGGTAGCCATTTGAGAAGCACCGCTTTCTTCTGATAGTTGATCTTGGGAGCCATTGCCGATTTTTAAGGTTTGGGCCAAAATACGTCCACAAGGTTTTAGACTAAAATTTAAATTAATTTAAAAATTATTTGATTGGACGAATAAATGGCAATTAAAATGGCGTAATAAAAAAATAGAATGGCATAAATACTGAAAACCAAGACTGAGAATCCATAGAGTAACTCTAAATGAATTTTATGTATATCAATTTTCTGGAATCCATTAAAATACTTTTTAAATCCCCCACACCAGTGTTACCCGCAATTGAAAAATTTTTAAATAGATGTCGGACTTTGAGGTCTCTCGAGGACGAGAATCTTATAAATTTTATTCCGATTTGAGAATAATAGGCGGAGGAAATCGGAAAACTCACTTTATCCAAATATGAGTAACTGCATCGGTTTTACTTTTACAAACAATATCCTAAAAATTGTTCGAATATAAAGAATATTTTGTAAAAAATTTTACTTCAAGCCTCATAGTTGCATCAGCAACAAGTGTTTTATCGTTCTGAACAAGCATCTGAAGTACCCGATTTTGTAAAATGCCAACATCAAAACACTTTTCCCATTGTAGCTGCATTGTTTTTCTTTTTTGAATTAAACGGTTTTCACCTGGAAAAAATTCGAAGCTTTTTTTGAGTAAAATCATGAAGAGTATGGGTGTGCTTGGGAAACTTAAAGAATGCTTTTGAATAAAGCAGCCGACCACATCCGGAGGAAGCTCTTTGTAGGAGCCTTCAGGAAAGGGTTGTCTTGAAAGGCAATGACTGCCAATTATTGGTGGATATCCTTGTTTTATCACCAATCTGGGTGAAAACATTGTAGGCCTTACAGAACCTTGTTAGCCAATGTTTCCCGAAAAACTCAAAAAACACTCTCACCATTAATTTCCACCTTTTCTTTAACATTAACTGCACAGCTGAGGTCACTCAACTGGCAATTTTGAGGTAATTGATCCTCCGGCATTTCCACCCTAAGTAGTTTTAATCTAACAACAGCTACATCTGGGGTAGGTGTAGAAATTTCTTTTAAATTTGAAGAGGGGGAAGAAGCACAAGAAGGCGAGGAAGATAAAGCAGCAGTTGAGGCAGCTGGGGAAGACAACATCATTGGTTTATGGGTACCGTTGTTTATGCCGTTTAATATGCCGTTTATTGAGCCGTTTGGTGATTGCTAAAAATTATATTCCATTTTTAAATTCTCACTCTTTACATACTAATAAATAGGGTTGGGGGTCCTGTACGTCCGAAAGATCAAGTCGGGCATCGAATCTTGGCCCGAAAGACTCGGTCGGTCTGGCCTGATAAAAATGAGGCCCGAAAAAAATGACTAGAACGTCGGCCCGACTCGAAACCCCCGACCCTACTAATGAACATTATAGGCCATCCAACACAATATAATTCCCCTATAAATTCCCTAACATATAGAATAATACCCCAGCGTATTTATTAAGACTAAAGAGTATAATTTTTTATAAATTCAAAAAATATTTTTAAATGTCAGTTAAAATACACTAAACATCCATTACGTTTGATTATCCTAAACACTATCAAAAATCATGACACAATATTTCGATTTTCATATCCAACAACCAAATTAACATAATTTTTAAATTTAAGTGGAACTAAGAAGAAGGTGTTTAAGCGATATCCTCAGTTTAAGATATCCTTCATTGAGGTAACTATTTTTCTACCCTTATAATACATATTTTTAAAAGTGAGGTTCAACCTACTTTAGGCGTTGATTGACCAGATTCGTTGTCTTGAAATTCAGTCTCCAACAAATCCTCCAAAGGAAAAAGATCGTAAATCTGAAAAATAAATTTAAAATTTAATTTTTTAATAATTTATAAACCTAAATAAAAATCATAAAAATTGAAATAAAGAAAATGTCATTTTGGTGTGTATTTAATTTTAAAAGAATTTAAATCAAAATCGAAATTAGACTGAAAAATTAAATTTTCAACAAATTTACGCAAAATTAATAGAATAAATTTTTAAAAGTTAAAATTAAAAAAGTAAATATTAAAATAAATTTAATAAATTAAGAAATTTAATCAACGACAATAAGACTAGATTGAAGAATATTGTTGGATAATAGGGAAAGAAAAATATTTTGGAAAACCTGTTTTTAAAAATAAAAACAAAATTTCCATTATTTACGTAAACTACATACATATATTTAAACATTCCAAAATAATACTTTAAATAATTTGCTCTAAATAAAGGGGTATGCGCGAAAATAAGTGCTAAAGCACTTAAAAGTTGTTTATAAAAAGTGTTTTGAATAAGTTATGAAAAACAAAATTTATTTTTAGAGAAAATAAAAATTGTCAAGTTGGAAATTTTTAGATCTGAGGAAATTTTTGTGGTTTGTAGAGGTAACTCAATAAATAAATTTGTTGTTCCCCCGTTCTCGAGAGGCAGGGAATTCTGACATTTTTTTCTTGAAAATTCCCGATCAGCGTATGAACTTGCCTCACCAAAATTTCCCCTAAAGTCCAGCTCTCGGACAGTGTACGACTATAAAGATTTCTCAATGGGAAATTTTTTAAATTAAATTAGGACAAAATTATCTAATTTTTATTAATGGACATAAAGTCCAAAAAAATATTTTGTTGAATTAAAATAGCATTGAAAAATATTTCTCGAAATGATTACAAAAATCTGATCAGAATAAAAAATTCAAGGGTTATAGTTTGTTTGTTTTTTATTTAAATTTTAAATTTAAAGAATTTTAAAAAAGAAAAAGTGAAAATTGCGAATATTTGAAGAGTGAATAAATTTTATTTTTTTCTTTTAAACTTTTAATCTTTCTAAGCTTCTTGGCTTTTAAGTCTCCTATTTAAATAAATATTTTTATTGCCAAAAATAAAAAAAATTTTTGTAGTTTTGTCTTTATTTTTGTTTGTTAAAAAAAATATATTTTTTTTAAATATTGGAGAGTCTTGTGACGAAAACAAAAAAATAAAAAGATTAAAAAAATAGGTGAAAGACTGTGACGTTACTGTTGGAGAAATCGGCAAAACCTCGGCTCTTATAACTTTGCCAAATCAAAACCTAAATTTATGAAATTTTCCATGGATGTAGAGAGGATTGTTATTTAAATAATCAAAAAATTTCAGAATTTTTGGTTTAGTAACTGAAAAGTTATGGGCGAAAAGATGTCATTTATAGTCAAAAATGCCCACTTTTTGTTCGTTTTTTGGATATAACTGTGAAAATACGGAACCAAAAATTTTGAAATTTCTAGAAAATTTAGTTGACACTATCAAGAATATTTATACAAAATTTGATAACTCAAAATTCTTGGTAATGAGCAGTGCTTCGAAATTTCAAATTTGCTCGTACTCGTACTCGTACTTCGTACCACCTCTTTTTTTGGCCTCGTACTCGTACTCGTACCTCGTACCACCCCCATTTTTTTGCTCGTACTCGTACCTCGTACCACCCCTATTTTTGGCCTCGTACCTCGTACTCGTACCTCGTACTTACTCGTACTTGAGCTAAAAGCAAAAAATCGAAAATTTTAATGATTTTTTGAGCCCAGGGCATCTAGTTTTAAATTTTAAGCGTTGTATGTGATAATTTTTGAATCTTGAAAGGCCTTGAAGTTATAAATCCTCCAATTTCATCTATTTGCTGCGCCGCAGGCGAAATTTTTGAGCATTTTAGAGTGCAAGGAGAAATATTTCCTCCAGGATGAGTCGTGCTACCCGAGATCCTACATTTTTTCATCCGGTTTTCATCTTCTTACATGGAACTTTTTATCTCTTCCACTGAACTTTTCACATTTTAATCTCCTTATATCCCTCTTAATCTCAAATCCTTCTTTTAAAAAATTTTGAGAATTTTGGATGTCCTTAAGTCAGATTTCTTCTATTTTTGCGCCGCAGGCGAAAATTTGGAAGCCAATAACCACCTTTCTTATTTTTTCAGCGCCGCAGGCGAAAATTTTGAAAATTTCCGAAGGCCGTAGTGAAAAAATTCATTTTTAGTGTTAAAAGAAAAATTTTTTTAAGAATTTTAAATGGTCAAATCTCATAATTAATCCAAGTAAAAATACAATAATTTTAAAAAAAATTAAAATTATAAATAAGTTATTTATAAAGAGAAAAAGATTAAAAATCCTTGTCCAGTGAATAGGAAACGAACCCAATATTAAATCATGAAAGACTTTGGTGCAGCCAAACACCTTCACCACTCGGCTACTCGCTCATATAAGGTCTATTGAATAAAATTAAACATATTTTTTCAATTTTCCTATTAACACCAAGTACGAGAAGTACGAGCTCGTACTTAGGCCTCGTACTCGTACTTTTCACTTTTTTTTGGCCTCGTACTCGTACTCGTACTCGTACTTCGTACCTGCCCAATTTTTTTGCTCGTACTCGTACTCGTACTTCGTACCAGGTACGAGTACGAGTACGAGGTACGAGTACGAATTTTGGTACGAGCTTCGAAGCACTGGTAATGAGAAAATTTATTAGCGCGCGCCAAAAAAAGTTGCGCATCGTAACGACCCTAACAAGGATATGTAAAGACGAACAAAAAATAATGAGAAAAATTTAAAAAGGGCAATTAAAAAAGTTTTTCTTAATTTTTCAATCATTCAAATCATTTGATTTAATGGGAAAAAATAAATTTTAAATAAAAAATAACAATGTCTGGTAAAATAAAAAAAAATTAATTTATGGTCCAAACTAAATTTTTTAATTAAATTAGGGACATAAAATAGGTAATTGCAATAGTAAAAATAAAAATAAATGTGTACTTTTAAAGATTCAAAAAATTTAAAGATTGAAAAAAAAGTTTATTTAAGGTTGAATAATGAAAGTTTAACTTTTCTCTATAAATTAGACAGTCTCATTAAATCCCTAGAATTAAAATAAAGACAAAAGGAAGGACTAATTAAAGGAAGTTAGAAATTCGACTTAGGAGCAGCTCAAATCAAAGTCAAAATCAGTCATTTAGTTTTCAGAATATTGCCTTTATTATGCGGTGAATTTAAAATAAATTGTCCTCTTTTCAATTTTCTGTTTAAAATTTTGTTTAATTCTACATAGTAAAAATCGCTAAAATTTTCTCCGGTCTTGAACCTACTCAACTAATATGTAGAAATTAAATCTAACTGCAAAAGGAGGGAAGGAAAACATAGAATAGAAATTCGACTTTAGATAAGTGATTTGGAAAGTTTTACGACTTTCCCGAATTTCTTAAAGTATAAATACTAAATTTTGATAGGAGCTTCGAAGCACTGTGTAAGAAATTATGTAACTAAAAATACCTTAATTAGTAAACTTTATAATGAGGAAAAAAAGAAAATTTTAAAGTAAAAAAGTCTATTAATTAGTCTAGCACAATAAAAGACTTTTTTAAAGAATTTTCTCAAGTAAAAAAATATTTAGAATTATTGATGCATAAATATTCAATAATTAATGTGAGAAGATTTTAGAGCTGTGGATATGTGTGTGGGTTACGCCGAGCACTGATAAAATAAGAAAATGAAGACGTTAAACCATGAAATTTTGCAGAGAACTCCTCAATAAAGTTATCTAACTATTCTGAAAATTTCAGAATTTTTGAATCAGAATTTTAAAAGTTATGGTCAAAAATATCAGAATTTTGGGCAAAATAGTCGACTTCTTGTAGTTATTTTTTCCATAACTTTTGAAATTCTTAACCAAAAATTCTGAAATTTTAAAGAGAGTTAGTTGGCACTATTAGAAAGGTCCGTACAAAATTTCAAGGTTCTAAGTACCGAAAAAGTGACATTTTTATAAAAATGCGCAAAAATGGACACTACATAAGCAGTAAAATATAAAATTTTTATTTTAAATAAATTAAAGCTTAATATATATTTTTTAATTAATTAATGAATAAAATAGTCAAGAAAAAATATTGAAAAATTAGAAAAATTTGTTTTAAAACGAAAAAAAACTATTTTTAAAAAATATTTTCCTGCTTATCAAAATCAATTTGTGTTTTAAAAGCAATTTTATTAAATAATTAAAAGTTGGGGAGAAAATGTTTTATATTCTAAATTTGGTGTTTAATTGGTGCAAAATGCATCTGTCAAAGGTAATTAATTTGTTTAAAAAAGTAGAGATAAGGACAAAAAAGTAAAGGAAGGACAAAAAAGTAAAGGTGTTTAAAACAAATAAATAAATAAAGATTGCAACTTGAAGCCTCCTATCTAATATTTTTCGTTGATTTGGGCGAGTTGTGAGGGCTTCAACATTTTAAAGAGGTTTTCAAGCCTTCAGACTATTTTTAACAAATACTAGTCAAACCCTCAATTTTAGATAAAATTAAATCTCGATAAAAACGAATTCGAAGGGACCTAAGAAAAATTTAGCGATATCGAGAGGTTCATTAAATCGAGGGGCCATTACATCGAGGATTGATTGTGCCTCCTTTGGGCAGAAAATAGTACCTTAGGTAAAATAAGGGTTATTTCAAATAGGGAAGCTTGCTTAAAGAGCTTTTCTCGTCCAGTGGTCTAACAAATTTAAAAAAGATAACCTCTAAATTAAGTTAAAAAAATCGAGATTGCAATCAGAGCTGCACGAGAAAACGAAAATATATTTTCAAACGAAATCGAAACGAAACGAAAATCATCAAAAAATCCACGAAAATCTACAAAACAGGAAACAAAACGAAAAATTTTCGTGCAGCTCTGATTTCAATTTTCAAAAAAAAATCAGTAAAAAAAATTCAGAAAATTTCAAAAAAAATTTTAAAAGAAAATTAGAAAGAGCCTAGCTAGCCATATAACAAAAAAAAAGATAAAAAGAGCCTTTTTTCCTTA